AATAAATAAATAAATAAATAAATAAATAACAGAGTTCTTTACCGTATATAGTACGGAAACTCTTTTACTTTTAAAATCACTGTTAAAATCGCGATTATTTTCTACATAATTTGTATAATATTAAATGAATATAATAAAAATTATTTATATTTTAAAATGTAGAAAACACTAACCATTTTTAAGAGGATCTTCTATAGTTAATTCTCAGAGCTCAATCTGGTTTGTTTCCTGCAACCCTAACTATGTTTTAGTCTCCCTAATGCAGTTAACCAAACCTTTTTAGTGTGATGTTGTACCTATTTTGTTAGTTTAACACCCTCAAGATTCTCCAAGCTTTTGTTTCGACTTCCCTTGGGGTGGTTCAATCCTTAATTGAGGTGGAGAGACCCCTACAAACTCCCCTGTCTCATTTGCACCATTTTCCCCAGCAAACCCTGCAGTCGGAGGCTAGCAGATGCCGGCAGTATAATAAGGTGACCCTCATTCTACATTACGTGTCAGTCACGGAGGATCGCCCTTAAGCTGAGTCCCGGAGCTCCCGATTTCAGTCGGGTCTGCATCAGAACGATACGCAGAGTTATTGTGCACTTAATGCCGTGCCGGAGGCCCACGTGCCGCATTTATTATGGCTGAGAATCCTGCAGGCCTTACACAGAAGATGGCAATCAAATAATGAAGGTGTTTGCGTCTCCGCTGTTCGTCGTGATTCCTCATGTGGCGGCTTCCCGAAAGGTACAAGCATCTCTGTGACACAGACGGGGAGGTTGACACAGGTTTCATTCTCCCACGTGGAGCAGCTGGACAGCTTTGTGCGAGATAACGGATTTTAATAACCAAACAGAGAACGGGAGGACTTCTTTTCACAGGAAGTAGAGGCATTTTAATAGACAAATGTGGCAGTTTTGACTGTCAAAATGGATTCGCATTCCTCTCCGCTTTCAAAAGTCGCTCTCCTGAGTAAATCCCAAGGCAAACATCAGACCTCGTGTGAAGGGTAACGTATCAATTGGAGGTTCGGGTGAGAAGGGATTTATAGAACGGGACTCTCCACTGGCCTCTCAATCTCTAGAATATTTGACGGGTAATGAGTGCAAGTCATTTTTCGCTGTCGGGTTTTATTGTTTTATTATTAATATATCATATTTTAATGGCCAAATACACTTTATGAATTCAAGGTTGTATATTTTACAACCGATAGAACATATGTAACCAATATAAATGGATCGGGAGCAACAGTAATTGTTGTTTTTTAATTTCCCACTTACACTCCAAAAAAAGAAAAATCATGATTTTGAGGTGTGTGTGTATGGAGTTAATCGCGATTAATCGCATCCAAAATAAAACATAATATATATATATATATATATATATATATATATATATATATATATATATATATATATATATATATAAATATATAAATACACACACATGCATGTATAATTAAGGAAAAAATATAATTTATATATAAAATATTTATGTTTGCATATAATATAAATTATATATAAATCTATATACAGTATATTCAAGAAAATATTTCTTAAATTTATACAAGCGTGTGTATATATATATAAAATAATTATACACAGTGCACCCACATATATTATGTAAACACAAACTAGATGTGATTAATAGCAATTAATCGTTTGACAGCCCTAATATATATATATATATATATATGAAGAGTTCAGATGCAAAAGCCTCTAAATGCCATTTGAAATTTTTTTCTTTAATGATGATTTTTATCAAACTTGTATATTTAAGTTCAGTAATTTCACTTAAAAAACAATTAATAGGTAATTATCATTGCCATTTAAGTGAAATTACTGAACTTAAAAATACAAGTTTGATAAAAATCATCATTAAAGAAGAAAATTTCAAATGGCATTTAGAGGCTTTTGCATCTGAACTCTTCATATATATATATATTATATGTGTATATTTATATATATATATATATATATATATATATATATATATATATAGTGTATATAATATTATATATATATATATATATATACACAGTATACATATATATATACACACACAAACATTTATTTATACATTTTTTATTATATTTTATAACTTAAAATACTTTTTTAAAAGAATATTTCTTGAATTTGGTTTATTTTTCTTACAAAATTAGCAAATACATATGTGTTTTTCCATGTTTGAAGTGTAAACCTTACTAAACACAGTTCTACACCTCTGTTTTTTCACTGAATGAGAGATGGACGCTGATAAATATTTGAAAAGAAAACCAAGTTTATGTAGTGCATCAGCTCTAAATGCATCAGCATGACACAACAGAGTACAAGAGCTTGCAAAAAAATCAAACAATAACACACACACACACACACAAAAACGTACATGTGTGTGTTCCCGCATGTGCGTTCAGCTGGATCGAAGCATAAATGACAGCAACCAAATTCATTACACATTTCTGAGCATCCCAAATATGTCCTCATTTCTAATGCACCATGGTCCTGAAGGCTCAGATTACAGATTTATTCCTGCTTGATTTAAAGTGCACAGACCCACCCGGCTTTTACTTCAAAAGAATGATGACGGATTGTTTCGTTTTTTACATTTCATCTCACCCTCCTAATGCCATTTTTTTTCTTAATTTCCCAACACATCAAATGCAAACTAGGGGCCACCAATTAAGTTGCAGCTTGTAGTAGACTAATTAGAGTGCAAAAATAATCCTCCCGTTTCCCGTCTCTGTGGAGTCTGCTGTTGATATACATGCCTCCCACCCAAACAGAATTAATAATCGCTGTAGAAGCCCGAGCACAGATGAGCTGTGTGGCACTGCGCTCTTAGCCTAATACAAGGGATTTCAGCAGGAGCTCATTTCACACAAGTTAAAGGGACTGCAATGTATAGCTGGGCCTTAGGGGACAACAGGGATAATTGTAACGTTTAATAAACCTAACAGAGAATATTTTTGAGAAATAAAACGCTGAATGATTAAATATGTATAAAATATCTTTATTTGTGTTCCACAGAAGAAATAAAGTCATAGAACAACTTTATAAAGATGGAACGTAAAGTTTTGTGATGTTTTGGGAAATTTTACAATGTTCCTTTCATCATGAATTTATCAGCTGTCAAAATACAGATGAAGAATGGATCCCAGAATGCATTTGCCATAACTTATTATATTAAAGTGCAGATTAATGTGGTTTTAACCCAACTGTTGTATTTCACTGAGAAATAATGTTACTTTATGGTCTAAATATCTATATGGGCATATTTTAATATCCATTTCCCATCAATCCTTGTTTGCCTCGTTCGCTATGTGTTTCTATTTAGTCTTGAGTCACTATCAAAGTCTGTCCTTCAAAATCTCAAGTTATGTCAAGGGCTATTCACATTACAGAACTTTTTCCATCACTTTATTATTATCATTTTCATCACATACCGCTGGTATGAATGTTATACTGATTTGTGCGCTTGTATCCGACTTGATTAAGTTATGCGTTTATTTGACTCAAGAAATGACGTCTGATGCAAAACAAATAAGCCCCAAAAAAGTGTTTTCTCACTTCTATTTGGTAACACAAGCAGTTCAGGATGACGAAAAGTGTAATGTCAAGAAAAGTTATAATTGTATTCTGTAGCCCTCAAACCGTATTCACTTTATGGCCCTTAATCCTGTAATTGTGGACAAATGTGGGCACAGAGGACTCCAAAAAAAATTGTATTTTAAATTTCACTGTCTTCGATAAAATTTTGTCTATCCATTTATGGTGTTTATTTTTATTTTGGGGGTATTTTTGAATTTATTTACTTTAAAAAGTACCATGTAAATTGTACTTATTTTTATGATTTTTTTTTAACTACATTAAAATATCATTCCAATAAGTTCTTATTTATTCCAATAAGGCTTATTTTAGAATGCTCTAAATTACAGTTTTTCCCATTTATTTCGACATGAATGGGTGCCCATTTTTGACCCAAATACAAGATTATGGAGTTTTTTTTCACCCACTTAACCTTGTAGAATTGAGTCAAAAAAACTTAGGGAAACTTAGGGAAAGTAGCCAAGTCTTGTATCGCTCAGATCAAGGGAAGTATTTTTTTTAAAAATAAATCAAAACTATTTTGCCCACATTTGTCCAGAACACAGTTTTAGGTTTAATCTTATTCTCAGAGTATACTTTCAATGCACACATGTTGCAAACACATGGTTTTGTCATATTTAAATATACTTCATATTCAATCATTGCTGGGTCCCAAACCGGTGAGAAAAGCATCTAATTTCCATTTCTCTGACAATTAATTCTGTTCAAATAGCTAGAGGGATATTTCCATCCCAGACCAGACCGTCTGTCAACCTGGCCTCAGGTGTCTCTGTCCAATGGCACATTTGGCCCCAAATACACATTTAAGACCTCCAGAATGACCGTATGGCAACCAGTAGTTGGAGAAACAAGGAAATATAATACTTTATAAGGTGCTTAAGGAGATAGGAGAGATCTAAAACCACTAAACCAGATCATCGAGATGCAGCAACAACTCCCTGAAGACAAAGATTCTGCCACACAACACATCTTTCTGTTTCAGAAACCAGATATACAGCCTGCCATTGTGGATGGGCAATATGCCACGCCGTGTTTGGCATTAGTGAGTGTCACTGAGATGTTTTGGCAGAGCAACAACACTGGTTTCAGCCGACGTGTAGCCAGAGTAATGAGCAACCTTAGCAGGCATCACATCACCTGCGTCCACGATATCACCACCATGTGCTTCAGCTCGGCGAGAGCAACACATATAGCTCAAATGAGTCTGACCCAATAAAGCAAATTTTGGTGTTTAGCACATCATCATGAAGTCAAACAAATTGCATTCAAACTTTAGTTTTAAATCTAATATATTATAAATTTCCATGTTGCATCAGAGAAAAAAATCCCCAAATACCACATTGCAAATTTACTGAGCAATGAAAGTGCAAAAAGTGCAGCGAAAACACTAAATAGATTTTGAAGTCCTACCTCTTTATCAGATGCCAAAAATCACAGCCTTGATAAAGTCAGAAAACCATGGAGTTGATCGGCTGCCGATGTTTCTTATATCTATTGCCGCGCACAAATGTGGAGTGGACCGTCTACCACGGGGACGGACTCCATGGGCTCCTCTGACTGGCGAGATCAGCGGCTCTCTGGCGAGTAGGTGAGAAAAGAAACAGTGAGAAAAGTCCGGTAGTCCTCGATGTGAGCGCCGTCAGAACAGAGCATCCTTCAGTGGGCAAGAAATCCAGAGGGAACGTGCCTGTAATCCCCAGACTGGAAGATAAACAGGGGAGAGTTGCCTCAACATTGTTCTTTTTCCACTGGCAGCAACATCTCTCTTCTCCCACATCCTTCTGAAGCTATTTATTTATGTGGGACCGGAGTGGAGGGAGCGTGAGAGAGAGAGAGAGAGCGAGTGTGCACTGTCAGTGACTACATTAGCAGCTCTGAGTAGGTGGAGTTTTCTTTGCAGCAGAGGGGATCATGATTCGAAATCCAAAGGAGGGAGAGAGAGACGGACAGATAGAGAGAGAGAACGCAGCATGAATAGGTTAAGAAGCAGAGGAAGGGGTTCAAAGAAAGGAGGGATAGAAATGCAGCAGGAGCCCATAACCAAGTCGACTAGTCAATTAGTTCTGCCACTAGTCCGCTAGCAATACCGTTTAACTCAATGGCAGCTGCTCGGCTGACGCAGGACCGAATGGAAAAGTGCTGTCATCTTGGTTGCATAGAAACATTTGAGCCAATGCAGACAAAAAAAATACTGATTGGTTGATAGAATGTATCCAGTTTCAAACCCTTCACTTGCAACTATATTGATCTGTGATGTGACATACGGCAGAGTGCAATTTATCTAAATCCGTATCACGTCGCATTGATTCGCTCAATCAGCGTTTCAACCGTGGAAAGACGTCCGTTAAACAGCTTGTAATCAATGTATCGTCATGTTTACCTCAGAAAACCCACATCAACTCGTTAGTCAGCTAGAAAAAATAACTCCAGAGAGGAGCATTTTGCTAAATATATACACCATATTACATATTTGATTTGATTTACTTTATTAATCCCCAGGGGGGAAATTTATACGTCACAGCAGCACATAAATACAATAAAAATAAAATAAAAACATAACAACATACACAACTGTACTCAAATATCAATTTTTCAAAGCATTATGACCATGATTATATATATGACCATCATCTGCATCATCTTATAAGTTTCCGAGGGGCGCTCCTGTAAAAAATAAAGTGGGTAAAACTTCCGCTGAGGCGGCGGAAGTAGCATTCCAATGGTATTTTGTGTGTTAGTTAGCGAAGAGGCTAGCTGTTTTTCGGAGAATTATTTTACTATTTAAAGACGCAAATCTTTATGAGAGATGTCGTTACGGAGCTCAGGGACATCATGTGCTGTTCGCGGTTGTATGTATAACCGGACTAAACTAATTCAGTGGCTTAAACGTGATTGTTTTGAACATAAGCTGAAAACGAAATCAGAGTGATCCTGCCAGAGCCCGTCTCTGATCCTGCCAACGACTGTAGTTTCCATCACCTCCCAAAAGAAGACGAATCTTCCTGTGTACATTTGTTTAAATTCTTAATGTTCTATAAACTCTATCAGCATGTGATTGGCTGTTACACCTAAACTCAGGATCTAAGCCTGTGTTGACAGAATACCAAATGTGCCAGTTAATGTATTCAAGCAGCACATTCATTTATAATTTTGAATAAACTCCAAAGCACAATGACTAAGTGTGTATTTTTTATTTTAATTGTTTGTCAGCTCGCACATCTGTCTGTCACCATGCCTTGATGAGTATTGATTATTAATAATGTTATAATACTCCCAATCAACTACTGCGGAGGGTAAAGGTACTGTTATTTCACCCTTTTGAATTTCGTTGAGGTTGTGTTCCCACATCGTTAGCTAGTTTGGATCGCTAAAACTTGAATGACTGTCAACTGTTGAATGAACAAGTGTCAAGCATGTCAAATCGCGCTTTGTTTACTTCCAACCGGAAGTCGCGCCCACTTTTGACGCAAGGCCTCATGGGGCGTAGGAAACTTGTGGATAGCACTGATTGTAAAATCTAATTGCAGTTGGAAAAAAAGATTTTCTATGCATTATAATCGTAATGTTCTTCAATATTTAATGCATGTTTGAATAAATCTAGCAAGTTTTTAGGACAGCCACCGTTTAAATGTTTATATTTCATATGATCTACTTATTATAAAAATAAATAAAAGTGTAATTTAAGTGTTTAGGGTTAATTTTTGGTATGTTTTATCTTCCCTCAAGGGCATCCAAGATGTAGGTGTCTTTGTTTCCGAAGTAGTTTCAATTTTGATATTTTTAGGTCAAAGCGTTCTTGTCTGTCAGTCATATAATGGAGGTCTATGGTCACCACATGCACAGAGAAGTCCAAATTAAACATGATTTAATGACTTATAAATGTAAGGACACATTGATGGCCTAAGACACGAAACGAGCGGTTTGTGTGAGAAAACCAACAGTATTTATATCGTTTGTGTATAGCAATCTGGCAATGGAGATAAACAGACTTTCTCAGCTCTATAAACATTCATTTATATCAACTTTCCATCAACACACCGATCAATGTTCATTTACAGAAGATCCACACTGACTCATCGGTTAGTATTTAAACACAAATACAAGGTAGGAAGGGTGAAGTTTAGAACTAGTCATCTACTTCTGCTTTGGCACTTCTATGCCCTGTTTCCAAACAAAGATTGAATTATTTAAGCTCTCAAAGTCTGTGAGAGCTTATACAATTACTGTGCCAATTACTCTATGTAAATAATCATATTTAGTAGTGTTTTCATGATCTGATAGTCGTTATTGACTGAATTGCAGAGATAATTCTATGTAAGAGTCAAGAAGCCAATTTAAAAGTAATTTGTGCAACTAAACAGAATATTTGATGTAGGTTTTATCAATTGCATAAGACTTAACAATCCTACAAACATCTCTCATTTGACATCATCAATGCACAGACGGGCTTTAAACCTCACAGGCTTTGGAACAGAAAGTGTTTGATTCGGAGAGAGTATATCTGCAGACTTTATATAAGAACCAAAACTCTGAATAATTCAATAATTCCTTTGCATTTGGGGATATGTCGCAGATGCTTTTATTCAAAGTGGCTTGCAGGGCACATTTATTGAAACATCTTTAAGTGTCTAGCCCAGGAACGTCTAGCTTATGGTATATGGATTATAACCTTTCTTTTACCCGCCTGATCTTTGAACACTTGATCACACAGCCCGTTCTCATCCCAAGACGTCATATACTGACACTTTTGCCAATCCGTAGACATCCGACACCCTTTAGTGTCAATATGAGACGCAGATATATATGGGCCAGAAGGCGCCTCCTAGTGGTCGAACCCTAACCCTACACCAGACCTAATCCTACCCATAACCGAAGGGAGTTATATTGACGCTAAAGGGTGCCATGTGTGTTGGATGTCTACGCTTTGGCAAAAGCGTCGTATATGACGCTTTGGGATGAGAATGCGTTGGACCACACCATTATTAGTATAACTGACCTACATAGTTTTCAAAATGTTGTTTAAGCAGGATCAAGTCACTTTCAATATGTACTAAAGCTATCCAAAGAAATGGACTGTTCTTGCTTAAATGAACAGTAATTATGGATCATTGCCTTGTAAAAAGTAAAGACTCCTCTGTTGATGCTGGTCAGTTCAAATTACTGTCAGAGAGAACCGTGTTTCTGATATTCACATTACAAACGTCAGCTCTTCTAACCGCTAGATTTGTCTCTAATGCCTGGTTCAGATTACACGATTTTTTTTGTCTGTTACGATAGTCACTGTGTCAGATTACGCGATATTTACTCCTAAAATCATGTCGTGTCGTGGACAAGACACATGTCAGACTACACGTCACTTCCTGACCAGTCTTTAACGGCGCGCGTGATGTCATCGAGAAGGCGAAACTAGTAGCGGGTGACTTCCGGAAACGAACGTAAACAAACAATGGATGAAGCGGTGAGTGTTGGATTGAAAAAAGAAAAAAAAAAAGAAAGAAAACCCGACAATGGACACGTTCCTGGATTGCTCGCCATTTTTGAAAGTTGTGTACGGGCTCCTATTGGTCAAACTCATACATGTGACGGAACCGTTGTGGGCGACCGTTAAAAAAAATTAAACATGCTAGTCTTTTTGTCGTGATGTCGTGAAGCATCGTAGGTTGTTGCCCACTATGACACACTATACGAGATGATGCGATCGAATCTTGCGTCCCGACGGCCGTTGTCGTTTACGAATCCCCACGATACCGTACGTCAAACGGATCGCGTGCCAAAATCGGGCTAAAATAGTGTAATCTGAACCAGGTTACGTTTTCAACAGTAATACTCCATTATTTCTCCATTTTCTATAATTTATGTAATATTTACGTTTGTTTTTGTTAATTGTATGTATTTTATGTTATATTTGATTATTAATTCTCTTAATGTGTTTGATGGTGGTGGTTGTGTACAGTTTTGAAGTATTGTGATGCATAATAAGGCATGAATTTTAAATCACTATAAAAATGTACAGTACATGTTGCCATAATGAGGGCAATCAGAGGTGGGCTGTTGGTGTTTCCTGTGGGCAGGGGCATCGCTGTTGCCTAGCAGCCAAATCTGACCCTGGCAACCAAAGAAACACCAAAGCAAGACCCGTGAATCAATCTGTCTCTAAGAGGTAAGTATATGTCACTCTTTCTCTCTCTCTTGTAATTCACATGGAGCTGGTGCCAGACACACACACCCCGGTGGGTTGCCCTGCTGATGGGGTCGTGTGGTTCTCTTCACAGCAGACAGACAGGTGGACTGGCTCTGAGGTACTTACTAAAACAGGACATTACTGTTGAAGTTCTCACTCAGGCTATGGAAGCAAACTGATGCAACTACAACAAAATATCTTAAAGCCCCTCTATTGCCAATAATCGGATCCCTTAAAGATGAGTTCATTGATCACCAAAATTATACATTCAAACAAAAATACATTCTTATGAAAAGTCTTCATGCCTTATATAGCTCGAATGTAACTCTAAACCTTGCTTTATTTAGTATATGAAGATTCATTAAAGAGCCCCTATCATAGCATTTTTGTTTTGGGAGTTCCCAAAAACAGTTTAACGTGCATGCAAGGATAAAAAACACTATTTGTCTTATAATATGCATTTATTTTTACCCGATTTGCTCAACGACTCGTTCGACGATTCATTTTCCCAAACACCTCCTTTGAGTGACGCGAATCTGCGGCGATTGGTCACATGACCCAGTCAGTTGTTATTGGTAAATCGTAGGCAGAGACATAATAAATAATACATTTTTCTTAAATATATATGT